AAAAGGATGAAACAGCAGTAGAGAGAAAGGCAGAAGTAAGAAAATCACGTGGTTCCAGAAAGAGAAAGACACTGAAAGAAAAGCAGTTAGAAGTTGGTAGCTGAAGTGTTGAGTTTAAACCATAGGTTCTGTCTTACCTACCACATACCAAATCTCTGCATGCAGAATAAAGCCAAACAAAGCTGACTTTATCATGACCCTTTAGTTGTAAAGAGTATCATCTTGAGTTGCAGAGTATCATCATGACTCTTTAGTTGCAAATGACTAATATAACTCACAGTAGTTACAATAAAAAGGAGAATATTGTGTCTCCCCTATCTGGGGATTGTGGTGTAACTTGATTCAGGACTCTGTTCTGCTTAAGAGTCATGACCAATACATCCTTATATCCTTATAACAAATTTCCTTTATTTTGCCTAGACCAGCTCAACTTGGCTTGTGTTACTTGCTATCAGAAGCTAACCAAACAACTGCCTCTAAGTTAAACCATCTGCCTTTTGATTAACAAATTGCTAAACATGTTAATATTTTTGTCTGACCTAAGAGTCATTCTCATTCTTTTTTTTTTTTTTTTCGAGACGGAGTTTCGCTCTTGTTACCCAGGCTGGAGTGCAATGGCGCGATCTCGGCTCACCGCAACCTCCGCCTCCTGGGTTCAGGCAATTCTCCTGCCTCAGCCTCCTGAGTAGCTGGGATTACAGGCACGCGCCACCACGCCCAGCTAATTTTTTGTATTTTTAGTCGAGACGGGGTTTCACCATGTTGACCAGGATGGTCTCGATCTCTTGACCTCGTGATCCACCCGCCTCGGCCTCCCAAAGTGCTGGGATTACAGGCTTGAGCCACCGCGCCCGGCCTCATTCTCATTCTTTAATATGTGAAATAAAATGCAGAAAATTTAATTCACCAAAATTCTAAAGAGGCTCAGTAGAGCCAATGGCTCATTCTGGCAGATGCTCCCCACAAAGCATACAGTGGTAAGTGGGCCTTGGCAGCAGTGTCAGGAGAGCAGGATTTTAGCAAGCTATGCAGTGCACAGCATGATGTCTCCTCTTTGACATCTCAAATCTAGAGTAACTGTGTTCACAGGATGTTTTATTCAAGTAGATCTTTTCATGGACTCTGATACAAGAATGAACAAAGAGAACAACCATAAACGCAGGAATAGAGGTGGGTAACCACAAAGAAAAAAATGAAGACAACAGGAAGCTTGGGAAAGGCTTTTTACTGTCTCAGGCCACTGAAGTTGGGGCAAGTTCCCCCATACTTTGAAGATCAGGAAAGCCTTGGTTAAGATTAGAGTTATAGATGATTTCATATATCCCCACTTTAATCCACTGGTTGATGTAAAATTTAGTTCTTCTAGGGCAACCTTACTTCCAAGATTCCTACCTCACAGTGGTTCTCATACAATGTTAGTAGAGGCTGTTAGAGAAGTTCAAGAAGGCAGGCCACAGTTGAATGAAGGGACATGAAAGACAGAGACAGATGGACAGAGAAAGAATACAAATAGGCAGACTCACAAGCAGCAGAGAGGAGACAAAAGCAGTGGCAAGTTACCTAAAGTATCTAAAATCAGTCCATGTACCTGCCATATTGACACATTTTCCATGGATTGGATCATCTTTTTCTTGAGTTATAACACATATAAAAAATTCACCACCGTAAAGGGTGAATTTTTATTCACTCAACAGTTTTTACTCTATTCACAAAGCTGGGCAACTATCACCACTATCTAATTCAGAACATTTTCATCACCCCAGAAGGAAGCTCTGTATGCATTAGCAGCCCTCTCCTCCTCACAGCTCCTGGTAACCATTAATCTACTTTCTGGCTCTATGGATTTGCCTATTCAAGACATTTCATATGCATGGAATCATACCTTTTATATCTGGCTTCCTTCACTCAAAGAATGTTTTCAAGGTTCACACACATTGTAGAATGTATCAATACTTAATTCCTTTTAATTGTTGTTGCTGTTGTTGACACGAGTCTGTCTCTGTCGTCCAGGTCTTTCCTAGACATGTGCATAGCTCTATGCAGGCATTTGGCTTTCTAGATCCCCAAATCTAGAAGCTTTTCAAAGCCCCTGTGGACATATCACTTCCCAACGGATTCTTTTCAGTTTTTTGGTCAGCTTGTTTGCCCCCAACTGTATCACTGCCAGCCTATTTCATGCTGTTAGGATACCTGGGACTGGGTAATTTATAAAGAATAGAAATTTATTGGCTCATGGTTCTGGAAGCTGAGAGCGCCAGTATCAAGGTGCCAGCATCTGGCAGGGGCCTTCTTGCTGCATCATATGATGGAAGGCATTACATGGCAAAAGGGCAAAGAGAGGGTGATGGGTGGGGGGGTGGGATGGGGGAGGCCAACCTTCCCACATTTATAATGAACCCACTCCCAAGATAATGTCATTAATCCCTTTACTCTGCCCTCACGGCCTGATCACCTCTCATTAGTCCCTTCCTTCCAACATTATTATATTGGGGATTAAGTTCCCACACATGCTTTTTAGAGGACACATTCAAACTACAGCACTGTTTCAGGTAGCTGTGATATTTTAAATTGCCACTGATCACTCGACAAACATACTTGGTAAGCTTGAAGTCAGACCAAATAATAAGCCTCATGAGTGAGATTTTCCAAGGAACTATCAGTCATGTCAAATAATAACAGTTATCTGGCATTGGAGTGGGTCCAATTCTGTTTTGTACCCTCTACAAGTTGCTAAGTCACTATTTTTCACTGTGATTGCTGTGGTTATCTAGGCTGCCACGGGGCTGGGAGAAAAGTATAGGACTATGGCAAGTTAAAATGCCAAAAACCTTGCTGTTATTACAAAAATTTAGCTATTTTCCTTTAGTAAACACTCCCCAGACTGTTGCAAACCTTTGGTTAATTTCCAGAGTTCTGAAAAAGCTGATATTGATGATTTTTGCCACTGTTCTTGTTGACTTTATGGAGGAGAGGATTGCAGGCATAGATCCTATTTCACCATTCTGGCTGATGTCACCCCACTAAATCTTTATAAATTATTTGTTTTAAAAATAGCTGCACCCATCTCTGAACCTCTCTCCTACTAAACCTTCCCCTCCAAGTGGAGATTAAAATTTAGCAATGAGACTCAGATGGAAGCTTTTGAACCAGTTGCCACAACATTATTTAACAACTATTAGGTAAATCTAAATCAGGTAATGCAGAAACGCATATGCAGGAAAGTGAATATGTGGGAGTAATTGTGCTTTTTCTTTTTCTTTTTTCTTTTTTTTTTTTTTTTGAGACGGAGTTTCGCTCTTGTTACCCAGGCTGGAGTGCAATGGCGCGATCTCGGCTCACCGCAACCTCCACCTCCTGGGTTCAGGCAATTCTCCTGCCTCAGCCTCCTGAGTAGCTGGGATTACAGGCACGCACCACCATGCCCAGCTAATTTTTTTTTGTATTTTTAGTAGAGACGGGGTTTCACCATGTTGACCAGGATGGTCTTGATCTCTTGACCTCGTGATCCACCCGCCTCGGCCTCCCAAAGTGCTGGGATTACAGGCTTGAGCCACCACGCCCGGCCTCTTTTTTTTTTTTTTTTTTTTGAGACGGAGTTTCGCTCTTGTTACCCAGGCTGGAGTGCAATGGCGCGATCTCGGCTCACCGCAACCTCCTCCTCCTGGGTTCAGGCAATCCCCTGCCTCAGCGTCCTGAGTAGCTGGGATTACAGGCACACGCCACCATGCCCAGCTGATTTTTTTGTATTTTTAGTAGAGACGGGGTTTCACCATGTCGACCAGGATGGTCTCGAACTCTCGACCTCGTGATCCACCCGCCTCGGCCTCCCAAAGTGCTGGGATTACAGGCTTGAGCCACCGCGCCCCGCTAGTTGTGCTTTTTCAATACTTGCCATATTAGTAGTGTCTCTCTCCTTTTACATGACAAAAGTCGACTGCTAACCTCATAAAACCTCCACTGCATAAATAGCCAGTAGTGAAGAATGGCTGGCTCTCACCCTGCATCTGGTGTAGGCGGCACTATTGCTTCAGAAGCTTGGGCAATGACAGGAAGATACTTCAAATTGCCAAAGGTCTAGTTGTCACCATGACATTAATTGCTAATTTACAGACTTAAGAAACTGTCGTAGCTAGAATTGATAAGGGTTCGTTAGAAGTCCATTTCTATTCCAAAATCGAATTGTTATAATAGGTCATCTGAATTACAGTACTTTATGTCGTCTGACTTTTTTTTTTTAACTCTATGAAAGCATTTAACTTAGAGATCTTTATTTCAGAGAGGAGGAAATGGAGATATTTCCTTCAGAGACTTTTAGTAAAGACCAATCAGCAGGTTTGCAGCAGAGCCAAGACTCTAAAGAGGTCGCTTATATTTCCAAGAGATATTTCAACAGAATCAGTGAATAACAAACTTTAAGTGTGCGGTAAATTTAACAAAGCCCAGACTCTCAGAGCTGCAACTGCGAGGGTTTCAGGTCAGCCTGGGGCGGAGGGAGGGTGGGCGGTGTGGGGTGCGGCAGCTGGCGGGGGATGGTGGTGGTGGGATGTCTCTGATTTCCTCTTTTTCTCCACCCCTATTTTTGTAAACATTCTCCCACGTCCACTCCCTGTTTCCCTCCTTCACCCATTCACCTAAGGGCAAGACGGCCTAACTTCCACAAAGCCCAAAGATGCTTATTGAAGATGCTTTCGACTTGCTTAAGTTCATTTCAACAGGCAACAGAAGTCCTCATTCAGCATTCTCACCTCTCCATGCCGGGGGTCCAGAAACAATCCCTGTCCATGAATGGGTCAGTTTAGCTCACCTATGCTTTCCTTCGATTGTCCACAGCGCCGTCCAAACCGTACCAGTATCTCGGACGAGGTACCCATGGTGCTCCCAAATCTGGAAAAGTGACTCCGGCGTCGCCATACGCCGCAGACCCCAGCCAGCGGAGTGTTTCTCGAACCGCGCGGTTGCTCGGCAACGCCGCCGGAAGTGACGCCAGCCTTCCCGGAGGAACAAGGAAGGCGCTGTCGTTGGCAGTCCGGCTAGAGAAGAGAGGCGCCTGCGCCTAGGAGCCGGGCTTGTGAGTGGGGCGGCCTAGCGGGCGGGCGTGGGGCCAGGCCAAAGGACTGAACTCGCAGGAGCGTCACAGGCGCCGGGGCGGCTGCCGACGGCGGGCCTGGGTCAGTGAGAAGTCCCCGGGCCCCCGCCCTGCCTGCTACTCCCATACCCACCCGGTGCGCGCCCCATGAGGGACGACCCCCGACTGGGTCTCATGCCTACCCTCGGGGTGGAGCCGGCAGGTGTGTGAGCCCGCGAGGCCTAGGCGTGGTGTGTGCGTCCGCACATCTCGCGGGTGGAATGTGAGGAGCAAAGCCCTCCCTTATCTATAAAAACCCGCGGATTCGTTGACGTAAACGCTGTTGTAAAATCCTTTGGCTTCTGAGGCACGGTCAGGACTAGATGGGGCTGTTTTTTTTAAATAGGAATGTTAAAACTTAATGATATGTTTAGAACATTCATGTTAGGACCTTTCAGATAGTTAAATTTCTTGGAGGCCGGGCGCAGTGGCTCGCGCCTGTAATCCCAGCACTTTGGGAGGCCGAGGCGGGTGGATCACGAGGTCGAGACATCGAGACCATCCTGGTCAACATGGTGAAACCCCGTCTCTACTAAAAATACAAAAAATTAGCTGGGCATGGTGGCGCGTGCCTGTAATCCCAGCTACTCAGGAGGCTGAGGCAGGAGAATTGCCTGAACCCAGGAGGCGGAGGTTGCGGTGAGCTGAGATCGCGCCATTGCACTCCAGCCTGGGTAACAAGAGCGAAACTCCGTCTCAAAAAAAAAAAAAAAAAAAAAAAAAAAAAAAAAAAAATTTCTTGGTAAATACGTGACCACGGCAATCTGTTAGGAGTAGTTGCTCGCTTGGTTTGAAAAGATCCTTTTCTAACGTATTGATGTACAGATAACTTAATCACTAACAAGTTGGTTCTGACGTGTACACATTATGCGCCAGATTGGAGTCTCTCAAAATGAAACAACAAAACGATTTTAATAACGAAAGTTCTAACACATAGTCGTGCTATTTTTCTTCAGGTTTTCAATCAGATGTTCCACATAATAATGCTGGTAAGTATGGAAGGATTAAAATATTTGTAGACAAATTAGTTTGTGCACATACAAGCGCTGGTAGGTTTTTGGAAGCATAGCTTAAAAAGTGTCAAGAACTGGGAAGAATCAGAGATTTTACTCTGTTTGCAAGCTAACTTAGCCTGACACAGTTTCATGGAAGACACATTCATCCCTGTTCATTTCAGGGATGAATTACTTCCAGTGGTAGCCAGACTATCAGCAGTTTTACCTCAGTTCCCTCAACTCCCACTTCTCACAGGAAGAAGTCACCTAGATGTAGAGTGTGTTGAATTACAGGAAAGGAACCCTGAGCATAGCGAACCCAAATCTTTATCATTTGCAAAAAAGTATGTTTTTCAAGGCTGTCCACTATACAAACATCCTTGAGACAATAGTCTAGGGCAAAGGGCACTCAGTGAGTGCCTTGCTTGTAAGACATGCAGAACCAACAGAGACACGGAGAATTGTCTCCCAACAAAAATTCTCTGGAATTTTAACAAAATTGGTTGTAAAAAGTATTGAATATCATGATTTGATGTCAATTACTTGCCGATTTGACATGGTGGTCAAGTATAAATTGACTTCAGACTCGAGATTCCATCTCCAACCTGTGGATTGTCACAACCAACTCAATCTAGAGTTATGTCTCCTATACCCACCACTCTTTTTTCTTTGCTGTGCATTTAAGAAGGTAACATATGCACTCTGATCTGAAACAAAATTTAAATTATTCTGAGAAGGAAAACATTTTTATTATTATACAATTAATGTAGAAATAGTGAACTATGGTTGAACCAACCATAACCATCCCACTGCACAAGTAAACATTTTCTAAAACAAAAACAAGATTATACTGTACACACTATTTTGTGACTTGCTTATTTAATTTGAACTGAAAACCTTAGCTTTGACTGGCTGGATATTCTGTTATATGCTATCACATGCATCTCTTACTCCCAATTCTTGGATGTCTATGTGGTATCTAATTTTAATTATTGTGTAAAGTACATAGGATATTTTTACACTATGGAAGCATTGCAGACATGCCAAATAGATACAGATTGTGCTTTTGAAGAGAACAGTTAACTGTTAATTTCAGTAATTCAGTTTTTGGAATTTTAACAAATTGGTTTCAAAATAGATTTGCATTCTTTAAAACTAAACCTTTGTGCATATCCTTAATTTTTGGAGACATATTAAGTACAGCACTAAATTTCTGAATGTCTGTTGACAACAGAATGTGGAATTCCACTAGTATTAAACAAGTAAAAAGAAAAAGTGGACTCTGAAAATCTCAGTCAGCTTAACACTTTGATTTTATCCAGTGGACAAAAACTTATTTTGACATAACATTTCCTGTTTTGTTTAATCAAAACTTTGTTTATCGTATTGCCAAGAGATGATTTTCTGATATAAGGAAAGACAACATAATTAGAAAACACAAATGTTAAAGCTTTTGAAATACTTTTATTAATTTTAGGAGTTAAGAAGTTTCCTATTCTTTTGCTGCAAACCAGAAGACTCTGTTCCCTGTATATAGAATGGGAGTAATGTTTGAAAACAACTGGCTGGTGTTTAAAATTGAAGATCGTTGTGACTGTTTGTCCTAATGCCAATGCTGAAGTAAGATTGTCTTGGAAATACTAATTTGGGTAAGTATTTTTATAATGGTCTATATTGAATCGTGAGAAAAGACTAATAGAAAAAGATGTGAAATTTTTTAAAGTGCACTTTCAGATCAGCAGGGGAACTACGTTACCTCAGTCTCATGCTATTTTGAGGCCAATAGTTCAGGAATTTCAGTAATTTATGGCTAATTAAGTTTAGGCTTGAGGCAGCTTTTAAACAGCAGTGAGTTATATTTGAAATTTGTTTTAATCATAGATTCAGAATTCTCAGAAAGCATGTTTAATTTAAAATGTGCCTCGTTACAGTACTAATGTGATTGTCAATTATGCCTTATTATTTATTATACTGTTTCTTTGGGAAAGTGAATTTTGTATTTAAATCTCAGAGAGCCAGTCAGAAGCACCTGGATTAGGCATTTAGTTATATAAGGATCCAGAGCAGGCGTCCGGAAACTACGGCCCGCGGGCCGCATGCGGCCCCCTGAGGCCATTTATCCGGCCTCCCGCTGCACTTCAGGAAGGGGCACCTCTTTCACTGGTGGTCAGTGAGAGGAGCACAGTATGTGGCAGCCCTCCAACGGTCTGAGGGACAGTGAACTGGCCCCCTGTGTAAAAAGTTTGGGGACACCTGATCCAGAGTAACAAAATATTATGTACGAGCCACATTCATACAACAGGTGATGCCCCTGTTGGTTAATTATTCTCTAGGTATGCTAAATTAAGAGACACAGAATACTTAGTATTATGTGATCAAGAGCTCTATTCTGTCTTCACTACTGGGTTATAAACTGGAGAATATGTGTGGTTAAATGCCATGTTTTTCATTTTTAATTGGTCTTTTTCTTATTGATGGGGTTCTATGCCTTTTTAGGATTTCTTGCAAAAACCTCAAAATGGTTATAAAGTGGATCACAGAGGTGGTGTTATGGTTACTGTGTACTTTGAAACTAACGAATGTTTTTATGTAATTAAATACCTTTCTGCCAAAGTGACCTACTTAGTATTTTATTTTAAACTAATGACTAGTCATTAAATACTCTATTTTTTAGCACTATAATTTGATACTTGAAAGCATGAAGATGAGGATAATAATTATTCCTACTTAATAGGTTTGTGACAATTAAATGATATGATATTGTGAAGTTTTTAGGCCAGTGCCTGGCATATAGTGACTCTCAAAATTATTATTATCTGTTTATACACATTAATTGTATCATTTTCTGGATATTCTATATAGTTTTTTTAATAAATGATTTTATTCTTACCGTCAGTTGACCAGCTTATTCTTTCCTTTTCTTTTGAGATTTTTTTTTTTTTTTTTTTTTTTTTTGAGACAGAGTTTCGCTCTTGTTACCCAGGCTGGAGTGCAATGGCGCGATCTCGGCTCACCGCAACCTCCGCCTCCTGGGTTCAGGCAATTCTCCTGCCTCAGCCTCCTGAGTAGCTGGGATTACAGGCACGCGCCACCATGCCCAGCTAATTTTTGGTATTTTTAGTAGAGATGGGGTTTCACCATGTTGACCAGGTTGGTCTCGATCTCTCGACCTTGTGATCCACCCGCCTCGGCCTCCCAAAGTGCTGGGATTACAGGCTTGAGCCACTGCGCCCGGCGAGATTTATAATTAATCACCTTCATTGTCTTCTAATGAAAGCAGAGACACAAGTAATTGTCACACCATAAACAGTATGATTACCCAGGTGTATTCAAATTATTTGGCACCCCAGAGCTAAACTGTCTAGAGCAGCTATAAATAAACATGTGAAAACTCTTAACCAAATTACTTCTATTTTGGAAGAATTAAATTGGCCTCCAGTTCTCAGGTGATTTGTTTAGAATATCATATAGAGTGTTAGCAATCATTTAATTTTAATATTGGCATTTAGAAACTGATTTTAAGCTAAATACCTTATATAAATTTTTTATTTCCTTCTTTTAAATTCAGGGGTACATGTGCAGGATGTGTAGATTTATTACATAGGAAAGAATGTGCCATGATGGTTTGCTGCACAGATCATCACATCCACCTAGGTATTAAGCTCAGCATCCACTACCTGTTCTAAATGATGCTGTGCCTCCTCCCACTTCCTAGCCTCCAACAGGCCCCAGTGTGTGTTGTTCCCTTCCGTGTGTTCTTATGATTCAGCTCCCACTTATAAGTGAGAACATGTAGTGGTTTTTTGTTTCTTAGTTTTTTGGTTCCTGCATTAGTTTGCTGAGGATAATGGCTTCCAGCTCCATCCCTGTCCCTGTGAAGAACATCATCTCATTCCTTTTTATAGCTGCATAGTATTCCTGCATAATATAGCTGCATGGTGTATAAGTACCACATTTTCTTTATCCAGTCTATCATTGATGGGCATTTAGGTTGATTCTATGTCTTTGCTATTGTGAACAATGCTGCAGTGAACATATGTATGCATGTATCTTTATAATAGAATGATTTATATTCTTTTGGATATATACCAAGTAATGGGCTTGCTGGATCAAGTGATGCTTCTGCCTCTAGGTCTTTGAGAAATCATCACACTGTCTCCCACAATGGCTGAACTAATTTACACTCCTACTAACAGTATAAAAGCATTCCTTTTTCTCCACAACATTGCCAGCGTCTGTTGTATTTTAGCTTTTTAATAGTAGCCATCCTGACTGGTATGAGATGGTATCTCATTGTGGTTTTAATTTGCACTTCTCTAATGACTAGTGATGTTGAGCTTTTTTTTTCATATATTTATTGGCCGCATATATTGTCTTCTTTCCAGAATTGTCTGTGTCCTTTGCCCACTTCTTAATGGGGCTGTTTTTTTTCTTGTAAATTTGTTTAAGTTCCTTAACAAGAAACTACATGATTCTTTTTTTTTTTAAATTTGAGATGGAGTCTTGCCCTGTCAGGCTGGAGTACAATGGCCTGATCTTGGCTCACTGCAACCTCTGTCTCCCGAGTTCAAGCGATTCTTCTGCCTCAGCCTCCCGAGTAGCTGGGATTACAAGTGCCTGCCACTGCACCCAGCTAATTTTTTTTATCTTTAGTAGAGACAGGGTTTCACCATGTTGGCTAGGCTGGTCTTGAACTTCTGACCTTGTGATCTGCCTGGCTTGGCCTTCCAAAGTGCTGGGATTACAGGGGTGAGGCACCGTACCCCACCAGAACTACTGTGATTCTTATCAAAAAGGATTTTGGACCGATTTTAAGGGCAGAGTCTTTAACTATTTAAGAGATAAAGGCAAAAGAGTAGGTAAAATGAAAACAGTGGTGACATCAATGCCTTTGACTCCAGGGATGGTGAAACGTTTCAACTTTATAATATTTGCTGGATAGTAGACCTTTGTCAGATGGATAGATTGCAAAAATTTTCTCCCATTCTCTATGTTGTCTGTTTACTGTGTTGATAGTTTCTTTTGCTGTGCAGAAGCTCTTTTGTTTAATTAGATAGTATTTGTCAATTTTTGCTTTCGTTGCATTTGCTTTTGGCATCTTTGTCATGAAATCTTTGCCCATGCCTGTGTCCTGAATGGTATTGCCTAGTTTCTTCTAGGGCTTTTATAGTTTTGGGTTTTATACTTAAGTGTTTAATCCATCTGAAGTTCATTTTTGTATATGGTATAAGGAAGGGGTCCAGTTTGAATTTTCTGCATATGGCTAGCCAGTTCTTCTGGCACCATTTATTAAATAGGGAATCCTTTCCTCATTGCTTGTTTTGGTTAGTAAATATCTTTTTTAAAAAAGTTATTTTACATCTTACATGATTTCATGTTATGTTAAATTTGTTAAGAATTTTGTTTAGTACATAGTCTGTTATACATGACCTGTTATTTAATATGAGGATTATTGTAAATATTTTAATAAGTGTGATTGTAATTGATGATTTAATGAAAGTAAGAATGCATTTTTTTCTGTCTTATAACTTCTATTAGAAACATGCCTCCGGGAACATGATAATACTATGACTGTCCTTTTTATATATTTTGTACTCAAATATGAATTATGCTTCTTAGGGATAATTAGTTAGGTAGTGGTCTTAATACTTAATCACTTTGTTTATATTACTTGTTTTAGCAGATTAACATTTAGTTATGTTTATTAAATAAATATTTTAGCTAGAGACATAAACAGAGCATGTTTAGGGAATAATATTTCTTGTTTTTCAGGGTAATCCAAATCTTCTGGAACCATGAAAATTTTGCTGGTTTTTGACTTTGACAATACAATCATAGATGACAATAGTGACACCTGGATTGTACAATGTGCTCCAAACAAAAAGCTTCCTACTGAACTAAGTGATTCTTATCAAAAAGGATTTTGGACAGAATTTATGGGCAGAGTCTTTAAGTATTTGGGAGATAAAGGCGTAAGAGAACATGAAATGAAAAGAGCAGTGACATCAATGCCTTTCACTCCAGGGATGGTGGAGCTCTTCAACTTTATAAGAAGGAATAGGGATAAATTTGATTGCATCATTATTTCAGATTCAAATTCCGTCTTCATAGATTGGGTTTTAGAAGCTGCCAGTTTTCATGACGTGTTCGATAAAGTGTTTACAAATCCAGCAGCTTTTAATAGCAATGGTCATCTCACGGTGGAAAATTATCATACTCATTCTTGCAGTCGATGCCCAAAGAATCTTTGCAAAAAGGCAGTTTTGATAGAATTTTTAGATAAACAGCTACAACAGGGAGTGAATTATACACAAATTGTTTATATTGGTGATGGTGGAAATGACGTCTGTCCAGTCACTTTTTTAAAGAACGATGATGTTGCCATGCCACGAAAAGAATATACCTTGCAGAAAACTCTTTCCAGAATGTCTCAAAATCTTGAGCCTATGGAATATTCTGTTGTAGTTTGGTCCTCAGGTGTTGATATAATTTCTCATTTACAATTTCTAATAAAGGAATAATATGCCAGCAGTTGAAAGGTGTATCATCACTTAAGATTAGGTTCAGCAGCATAAAACTAAAATCCTAAATACTAGAAGCTTAAAAAAAAAAAAAGAACATTTTTTTTCCTCTCACATGAAAATTCCAGAGGTAAGTATTTCAAGATTGCTGTGTTACTCTACCAGCCTCAGCACTTGGCATTCAACCCGTGATCCAAGGTTGCTGGTGAAGCTCTAGCCCTCACAAAGCCCTCTGGCCAGCAAGAAGGAGGGCAGTGAGAAAGTTCCATCCCCTGTCTAAAGAAATTTCCCAGAAGTTGTACCCAGCACTTCTCTTTAAATGTCATTGGCCAAACTTAGTCATAATGCCCCACTTGTAAATAGCAAGGAAGTTATGCAGAGTCAGCTTTTGTTCCATGTAGTTATGTGCCCAGGAAAAGTTGGGGGAAAAAAGTATAGAATTGAGGTAGCTATAGCTAGTGGTCTCCACTAAAGGTAGTTGATAGGTTATATTTTTTTAGTTTATTCCTGAAACAAGTAGGCATATTTTATTCTCTTAGGTATTCCTCCTTTTTTGAGACAAGATCTCTGTCACCTAGCCTGGATTGCAGTGACTTGATCTCTGCCCACTGCAGCCTCAACTTCCCAGGCTCTAGTGATTCTCGCACCTCAGCTTCCTGAGGAGATAGGACTATGGGCTCGTGCCACCATGCTGGCTAATGTTTAGTTATTTTTTTGTAGATATGAGGTCTCACTACTTCGCACAGATTGATCTCAAAATCTTGGATTCAGGTGAACCTCCTGCCTCGGCCTCCCAAAGTGCTGGGATTACAGGCGTGAGCCTATTTATTTTAAAAGTATATCCAGTAGTTACAGATCTTTTAAAAATAAAGCCTGATGCTTCATTTACATAAGAGTAAAAGGCTGCCAAATTTACATGATATCCTCTGAAATCAATGTATTTTAAAGATAGGGATGGAGTATGTATTGAAGTTTTCATCAATTTCAGGCTTTCCTTTTGAAATGAAGTACATGTTAATGTCCTTCAGATATTCTAACTTTATATCATAGCACCATAGACAACTACAGTTTGCTAGTTTAATCTGTGTTGTTTTTATTTGGCAGTGCAGTCTTGAGTAATTCAATACTGTGTATAATTTGTAGGAATACTCAATATTTAAGACTTTCATATAGGGATATCAGTAAAATAACTGATCTAAAACATTTCCTAAATCCATGCTAATTTCTAGATTCACGTTTTAGCCATAAAAATGTAGTATTTGGCCAGGCATGGTGGCTCACGCCTGTAATCCCAGCACTTTGGGAGGTCGAGGCAGGCAGATCACAAGGTCAGGAGTTGAAGACCAGCCTACCCAACATGGTGAAACCCCATGTCTACTAAAAATACAAAAAGTAGCTGGGCATGGTGGCGCATTCCTGTAATCCCAGCTACTCCAGAGGCTGAGGCAGGAGCATTGCTTGAACCGGTACCCAGGAGGCTGAGGTTGCAATGAACCAAGATCGTGCCACTGCACTCCAGCCTGGGCTATAGAGGGAGACTCCAGTCTCAAAAAAAAAAAAAAAAAAAAAAAAAAGGCAGTATTTAATAATACTGTATTTTCCAAATTATGGGAAGCTCCAGAAATAGAAATATTTGATATAATTAGTGCTCTCTAATCTTTTTTCTTTATTTTGCTTTAGATTAGATTATGTTGAAACACATTTGTGTTTCAGATGTGTTCAGAGCTGAGATCTCGGCTGAGGCTCCACTAAAGCAGGGTTCACTTCCAAAATAACAATGTTGTTGGCAGTATTCATTTCCTAGCACACTACTAGAACAAGGATCTGTTTTCTTGCTGACTGCTGGCTAGAAACCATTGTTAATTTCTTGCCATGTGGCCCTCTCCAAAGGCTGGACATAAAAAAAAATAGGCTGAGCACAATGGCTCACACCTGTAATCCAGTAGTTTGGGAAGCCAACGCAGGAGGATCGCTTGAGGCCAGGAGTTGAAGACTAGCCTGGGCAGTTTAGGGAGATCCCATCTCTACAATAAATAAAAATAAAGGCTTTCATTTATGATAATTGTGGACCAAGAAATTTGTCCTAGATCTTCTCTGAGAACACCAAGAAAAGCTGGCAGCTGAACAAAATTTTTATAACATCTGGGCTGGGTGCGATGGCTGACACCTTTAATCCCAGCACTTTGGGAGGCCAAGGCGAGGGGATCACTTGATCCCAGGAGTTTGAGAACAGTCTCGGAAACATAGGGAGACCCCATCTCTAAAATAAAAAGACAAACTAAAAATAAATTAATTAAAAACACCTGAGCTGGCAACAATGAAGAGTTCCTAAGGAAAGAGAAACTTTGGTTTCTGTTTGGGAGCTGTTTTCCCCTGTGTTGGCCAATTCCGTGAGTGGTAAGTGATTGCTGAGATGTTGAATGGCCATTTTGGTAACCTTACGGGACGAGGAAGAAGGGACCTGCACTGGCAAACCCCTTCCCTTACTTGGAGTGAGGATCCCAAATGACTACTAATTGGGAGTAACAATGGTCCAGAGGTAAGCAGGCCTCCAAAGAGATGGCAGCCCAGCTTCAAATACCCTCAGTCTCTGAAATTTGACTGAGGTTACCTAAGATTTTTAGAGCTCCCAGATGCATGGCAGAAGCAAATCTGCATTTGCTTTTCAGGAACAAATTAACATCCTAGGTGTGGCAGACACTAAAGTGGCCACTATGATCCCTGTCCCTTGGTATTCCTTGTGTGGAGGGAGACTCTTATGACTTGATTCTAATCCACAGACTACCGTGAAGATGATGAGATGGACATGATTACACCAAATTCTAATATCCGTCTTATTAAGAGACTCCTTGTTGACTTTGAAGAAGCAACTGCCATGCTGTAAACCAGCCTTTGGAGAGGGCCTCATGTCCAGAAGCTAAGGGTGGCCTCTGGCCAGTAGTCAACAAGAAAACAGATCCTTGTTCCAGTAGTGTGCTAGGAACTGAAGATTGCCAACAACCTTGTTATTTTGGAAGTGAATCCTGCTTCCCTGGAGCCTTAGCTGAGACCTCAGCTCTGGCTAACACCTTGATTGCAGCCTTTTGAGACCAGGAAATGAAGCCAGCTAATCTGTGCTTGGACTGTTGACCCACAGAACCTGTGAGATAACAAATGTGTATTGTTCTTAAGACAATAGATTTGTGGTAATATGTTACGTAGCAGTAGAAAACTAACAAACTAGGCATCAAAATATATCTATGAATAGTTTTGCAGGAACACTGTAGAACACACAATAAAAAGTAGCCACACAAAGAGGCATGATTGAACAGCAGCAGAAACTTCTATTTAAACATCTGTAGGGACCTCTAGATACTGGAGTTTTAAGAGACAAACTTCTAAAAAAAAATTACAAGAATTTTGGCAAAGATTGAAAATTACATTTAAAATGAAAAAACTAGATGGGAGGAGTAAGTTCTAGCATTCTTTAACACTGTAGGATAACTATAGTTAACAATAATATATATTTCCAAATAGAGGATACTGAATGTTCCCAACACAAATGATAAATGTTTGAGTTGAAGAATATGCTAATTTCCCTGATCTAATCACTATACAGTATATGTATTGAAATATCGCCATATATGCCATAAATGTGTGCAGTTTTTTGTGGCAATTAAAATTTTTTTAAAGGAAATACTAGAACTGAAAATTAGCATGATTGAAATTTGCAGTTTGATGGACAGATTTGACAGGACAGGCATAGCTGAAAAAAGAATTGGTGAATGAATACAAGTTAGAAGAAAAAATCCAGAATGATACAGAGAGACAAAATAATAAAAATATAAAGGTTGAGACATAGATTTAGTAAGGATATCTAACAGAGGAAATTTATGTCCCAGGAGAGGAGAAAGAAAGTGAAACATAAGCAATAGTTTAAGAGATAATTATCAAAAACCTTACAAAATCGAAAGATAGATCCTAAGGCAGGACTTGGCTAAAACAAAAAAATAAAAAATGAATACAAAACATGTATTAAAAAAATTTTTAAAAACGAAACTGAGAGACATCAAACTTCAGAGTCAAAAACTCTTATAAACCCCAAACAGGATAAATAAAATGAAGACCACATGAAATTACACCATTGTGAAACTGCTGATAACCAAAGATGGAAAAAGCATAAAGCAGCCAAAGAAAAAAATATTACTTTGAAAGGAGCAACAATTAAGCTAATAGCTTGTATTTTTTTCTTTCTTTCTTAAATGCATGATAGAATGCAATAATGAAACTATCCAGACCTGGAGTTTTCTCTGTTGAAAGCTTTTAACCATGAACTTCCATTTCTTTTATAGATACAGGACTATTCAATTGCATAGTTTTTTTTGAGTAAGCTTTGGTAATTTGAGTGTGTTTTTATCTATTATCATTAAATATTATCTATTGCTACATAATAAATTACTTCAAAACTTAACAGCTTGGAACAATAAACAGTTATCTCATAGTTTTTGTGGGTCAGGAATTCAGGAGCATTTAGCTGGGTAGTTCTGGCTCAGAATCAAAAACGGGTCAAGATGTTGACTGAGGTTGAAGTCATATGAAAGCTAGACTGGGGCTAGAGTGTCTGCTTCCAAGGTGGTCCACTCATGGTTTTTGTTAAGAAGCCTCGGTTCCTTATTGGCTATTGGCAGGAGGCCTCAGTTCCTCACTGACAAAGGCTCAATGTATTGCTGATTGGCAGAAGACTTCATTTTCCAACTACATGGGCCTCTCCATTACTTCCGTCATATTTTGTTTGTTAAAATAGAACACTAGTCTAACTCACACTGAAAAGGAGGAGAATTAGACACCACCTTTGGGTGAATGAAAGTCAAAGAAAAGTGTGGACATTTTAAAACCACTAGTATCAAGGCCGGGCACGGTGGCTCAAGCCTGTAATCCCAGCACTTTGGGAGGCCGAGGCAGGTGGATCACGAGGTCAAGAAATCGAGACCATCCTGGTCAACATGGTGAAACCCCATCTCTACGAAAAAT